TCTCTGCTCAGCAGGGAGCCTGCTTCCCCCCCTCTCTCTGCCTGTCTCTCTACCTACTTGTGATCTGTCTGTCAAATAAATAAATAAATAAAATCTTTTAAAAAATTAAAAAATATTTAAGACTTTGATGCATTTTCAATTCATTTTTATACAAGACGTGAGGTAGGGATGCAACCTCTTATTTTTTTTTCCAGATAGCTACCCGTCTTTGGTTCTTTTCTTCAACTTTCTGTTCTGTTCCTTTGAATTATCTACTCTTACTATTTTAATAGCATCCTGTTTTAATTACTGTTATTCCATAATGTGTTTTAATATCTGATAAGACTAAGGACTCCTTATTTTGCTATGTCAAAACTTTCTAGGGTACATTTCTGTTTCTAACCCCCAGCCACAAGTAACCATTTACCTGTTTTCTATCATTCTAGATTTACCTCTCTGTCATTTTATATAATGGAGCCATAAAATAAATAAAATAAATGTGGCTCTTTTACATCTAGCTCTTCACACTTAGCATAATGTTTTTGAGGTTAACCCATGTTGTAGTATGTATCAGTTCACTCCTTTTTATTGCTGAATAATATTTGATGAAATGGATATACTGTGTTTTGTTTATCCGTTCACTAGCTAATGGGCATTTGGATTGTTTTTAGTCCTTTGCTCTTATGAATAATGCTCCTATGAGTATTCACATACAAGTCTTTGTGCGGACGTATGTTCTCATTTCTCTTGGCTAACAAGGAGTGGGGTTGCTACATCTGAAGGTCAGTATAATTCCTACGAAACTGCCAAACTTTTCCAAGATGGCTGTACCATTTTACATTCCCACTAGCGATTTGTATGGACTTAAGTTTCTCCACATTCTCATCAACATTATTTTGTTGTTGTTATAGCTGTTATAATGGTATCTCACTATAGATTTAATTTGATAGACATTGAAATGACTTAAGAAGGTTGAACATCATTTTGTGTGCTCATTAGCCATTCATAGATACTCTTTTTCTATTTTTTTTTTTTTTTAGATTTTATTTATTTATCTGACAGAGAGAAAGATCACAAGTAGGCAGAGAGGCAGACAGAGAGAGAGGGGTAAGCAGGCTCCCTGCTGAGAAGAGAGCCTGATGCGGGGCTCAATCCCAGGACCCTGAGATCATGACCTGAGCTGAAGGCAGAGGCTTAACCCACTGAGCCACCCAGGCGCCCCCATTCATAGATACTCTTTGGTGAGTTGTCTGTGCACATCTTTTGTCCATATTTTGACTAGGTTGCTTTCTTCTTCTTATCAAGTTATAAGAGCTCCTCATATATCCTGAAAAAATATTCCTTATATTAAGGAATTAAGGAAAAGAGAATTCCTTATATATTCTGGATGCAAGGCCTTTATCAGGTATATATGATTTGCACACATTTTCTCTTAGTCTGTGGTTTGTCTTTTTATTCAATGGAGTCTTTCGAAGAGCAGAAGTTTTTAATGATAAAAATATACTTTATCATTTTTTGCCTTTATTGCTTGTATTTTTTATGTTATATCTAATAAATTCTTACCTAACCAAGTGGTTTTCAACTGGAGGCAGTTTTGCCTCCAGGGGACATGTGGCAATGTCTGGAGACATATTTTGTTGTATCAGCACTGAAGGGAGTTGCTACTTAGGTCCAGTGGTAGAGGCCAGGAATGCCACTAAGCATCCTAGAATGCTCAGGACAACTGGCAACAAAGAATGACTTGGCCCATAAGGTACATAGTACAAGATTAAGAAACCCTGACCTAACCCAATGCCATGAAGATTTTCTCCTTTGTTTTCTTCTAAATGTTTGATAATTTCAGCTTTTATGTCCATTTTGAGTTCATTTTTGTGTGTAACTAGGTAGGCATCTAAGTTCATTTTTTGCATATGGATATGCAGTTGTCTCAGCATCATTTGTTGGAAAGACAATTGGATATCTGGCCGTTTGAATTCTCCTTCCCTTTATAAAATATCAATTGAACATAAATGTTGAGGTTCCAGCTTTCTTTTGATTAGTGTTCCAAGGATACAAATTTTTTTTTATTATCTTACTTTTAACTTACTTGTATCATTTGAAGAGAGTTTTTTTGTAGGTAACATATAGTTGGGTCATTTTTTTTTTTAATCCATTCTGACAGCTGGTGTGTTTATACCATTTACATTTTAGCCTAATTATTGATATGTTTGGATTTGGGTCCACTGCTCTAATTTGTTTCCTTTTCCCCTATTTGTTGCCTTCTTTTGGATTATTTAAAATTTTTTTTTAGTATTCCATTTTAATTTATCATGTTTTTGACTCTATGTTGTTTCTCTAGGGATTACAATATACACTCTGAACTTTCCAGAGTCTACGTAGAATCAATAGTTAACACTTAAAAGGTGGTGTTAAAATCTTACTAATACATAGGCCTCTTTACCTTCCCTCTTACATTGGGGTTATTTTATATAACCTTACATATATTGAAAAAAAATCCTTGGACAATATTATTTTTGCTCTTAACTATAAAGCATACAGCCTTACCTCATTTTATTTCACTTCACTTTATTGGGCTTTGCACATATTGTTTTCTTTACAAATTTGAAGTTTTGTGGTAACCCTGTGTCAAGCGCATCTATTGGCACCATTTTTCCAACAGCATTAGTTCACTCCATGTCTCTGTGTCAATTTGGGTAATTCTCACAATATTTCAAAAATTTTCATTATTGTATTTGTTATGGTTATCTGTAATCAGTAATTAAAACCAACTGGACACTCAGATGATGGTTGGCATATTTTAGCAATAAAGCATTTTTAATTATGTACATCATTTTTTAGACATGTGCTGTTGCACACTTAATAGTGTAAACATAACTTTTGTATGAACTGGGAAACCAAAAAATTTGACTCACCTTATTGTGATATCACTTAATTGTGTGGTCTCGAACTAAACCCACATTCTCTTCAAGGTATGCCTATATTTTAAAGAACTAAAAAAAAAAATAGCTTATTTATAATGAGATTTTTACTGTTTCTGTTGTTTTTCATTCATTCCTGATGTTCCCAGCTTCCTTCTAACATCATTTTCCTTCTGTCTAAATAATTAGAACACATTCTAAGTTTTCTTTAATCTGAACATTCTTTTGGACCTTATTCCTGAAGTAGAGTTTTTTATGTAGAATTCTGATTTGGCAGTTCTTTTTAGTGCTTCAGAGTGTTGTTTCATTTCCTTCTGATTTCCGTGGTTTCTGCTCAGGAATCTGCTGTCATTTGAATTGTTCTCTTATAAATAATGCAGCATTTTCTCTGGCTGCTTTCATATTTTTTTCTTTAATTTTTAGCAATTTGATTATGACAGGTGCTAAAGTGGATTTCTTTGGATTTATCTTATTTTAGGCTCACTGAGCTCTTTGAATTTGTCAGTTATATCTTTTGGCAAACTGGAGAAACATTTATCCATTATTTCTTTTTTTTTTTAAGATTTTATTTATTTGACAGACAAAGATCACAAGTAGGCAGAGAGGCAGGCAGAGGGGGGGGGGAAGCAGGCTCCCTGCTGAGCAGAGAGCCCAGTGCGCCACCCCCAGGACCCTGAGATCATGACCTGAGCCGAAAGCAGAAGCTTAACCCACTGAGCCACCCAGGCGCCCCTCATCCATTATTTCTTTAAGAGTTTTTTCTGCACCACCCTTTTATCCTCTCCTAGGATTCTAATGACATAAATGTAAGACCTTTGGTATTCTTTCACAGGCCCCTGAGCTCTTATTTTTTCAAAGAGGTTTAACTGAAGAAAGTTTAATCACTCATGTTGTTCACTGTGGTGGTGGTGGTGGTGGTGGTGGTGGTTTTTCTCTACAAATCGGTCTTTAAGTTCACTGACCACTGACTTTCCTCTCTTATCTTCATTCTATTTAGTCCATTTGGATTTTGTGTTTTTTAGTTCTAAAATTTTCATTTGGTTCTTCTTTTATCTTTCTTTCTTAAGACTTGGTCCTTCCATTTGTTTTAAGAACATGCATATGTACTTTCAGTCTTTATCATGGAAACATCCCTTTTGGAAAAGCTCCTAATATTTGGCCTGTTTGTTTTCCTTTTCAGTCTCCGAGAGTCAGGTGCAGAATACACAAAATAAAAATCTGGTTACTGGGACGCCTGGGTGGCTCAGTTGGTTACGCAGCTGCCTTTGGCTCAGGTCATGATCCCAGCGTCCTGGGATTGAGTCCCACATTAGGCTCCTTGCTTGGCAGGGAGCCTGCTTCTCCTGCCTCTGCCTGCCACTCTGATCGCCTGTGCTTGCTCTCGCTCCTCTCTCTCTGACAAATAAATAAATAAAATCTTTAAAAAAAAAAACCTGGTTACCTAGAAGAACGCCAGTGTACTGTGTTCATATGGCTAGAATGTTTGCTTTGGCTCATTTTTCCCATTTCGAGCTTGGCGCGAGAGCTAACATAGGGTTCCCAGACCTGGGCATGCATGTTGCTTCTGCTAATTTCTAGCACTGTATTACTGACAAGTCTCTCCACCTCGCTGGGCTGCACCTTCCAGGGCCTGAATGGATCTCTGAGCTGCTTTCCTGCTCTAGCATTCTAGGTCTGTTCTATGGGGCCTGGAAAGCACCACATGCATTTATCCTCTGGCTATTTCCCCCTTGCCCTTGTCTGGCTTTGGGACGATGATGGAGACTGTTTTGTGACATTACAGTGAACTTAAGAACTTTAGAATTCTTAGAAAACGGGAACCACCATTGACCAAACACCCACTGGAAGCAGCAAGATTTAGTCTTAGTGGGAAATTTTATGTTCCCTATGATGGCCAGGCGGATGCTAACTTCTCTTCTTTAAGGATGATAGTACTCTCTTCTGTCTGACAGGCTGCATACTTTCCAGTTATGGAGGTCGTCTTAGCATCACTGCAGTTTTCCAAGGTCTGCCCAGCCTCTTTGTTCTAGCCTTGGCAGGCCCTTTCTGGTCTGCTCCAGGATGCTCTGCCCCTCTACTACTGCTTTTCTTTCCTTTCCACAGCTACTTCAGCTCTCGGCTGCTGCTGTGGACAAAGGACGCAGCGTAGGTGAGGTCCTGCAGTCAGTGCTGCGCTATGAGAAGGAGCGACAGCTGGATGAGGCGGTGGGAAATGTTACTCGACTGCAGCTGCTGGACTGGCTGATGGTGAACCTGTAATCGGCGCCCACCTACTGCTCTCCCCTCCCCCTCCCTTAGTATCTCCACAGCTCCGCTCTCCATATCCTTACAGAGCCCTAACATTATCTTCATACCACTCACATCAAAGACATGTCATCTTATGCTAGCCACTGGATTTTGCAGATTTTCCTGTCCATGCAAGCAAGGACACAAGATTAAAAAAATTACAATTAAAGGGCTCCCAGTGTTTGGTTTCCTTGGGATCCAATGGGACAATGAGGTAAAGAAACTTCAGGGATTAAAAAATTATCAGATGGATAGCAGAAGAAAAATAATGCTGTCCTGAGAGGCCCTGGCTAAGGTCATTCATCCTATTTCTAGGTATCTGATCTAGTCCACAACTTGAAGATCCCCTGCCTTAAAGTGTTCCTAAGAATAAGCAGTTACAATTTATTTTATAACCATGTAAATCACAGCATATTCTCTCTTCAGCCTAAATCATTCTAATTATGATATTGAGGACATGGCTGCTTCTCCTGTCTCTGTAGAGTTGCAGAACACTTGTCTCCCTCTACTTTATCCATGGTTGAACATAGCTAGTGTCAAAAAAGATCCAGAAGATCTGAGTTCTATTGCCAATTCTGTACTTTTCTGGCTCTAAGACCTGGGACAGGTCCTAGGAAGTCACCTGTTATGACACTTCTCCCATTTAATATCCATATCACCCCACTTAAGAGGGCATTTTCTATTCTTATCCTGACCTTTCTGTGGAGTTTTATATTTTTTATCTTTCTAGAAACTTTCTCCTTTGGTTTCTAATTTTTGGGTTGTTTTGTTTTGTTTTACATCTCTTGGGGATTCTAGTTAACTCCATCACCCCCAGCATATTTATCTTTCCTACTTTCTTTTGACCCTCTGCTATTCTCATTCTGTTTCACCTCTCCTGGGTGATCTTATCCAAACCCACTGCTTCAATTATCTGGTGTCCTCCTTCATGAAATATTACACAGTAATTAAAATAAAAACTAGAAAGCCAGGTATATTTTCCATGTTGTTTATGAGGTTATGATCTTAAGAAGTTTCTTATAAAATTATATCTGTTCTACAATTAGAATCATATAGAGATTATATATTCATATAGAGAAGAACTAGAAAACCAAACAAAGGAGATTTTGAGGATGGTGGATGAGTGAATATATCTTATTGTTTATTCAGCTACCCCTCCTCTGGGAAATACTCTGTCCCCTACTCTGTGGTGCCACCATCTTCACAGTGTGGACTTGCGACCCAACCCGTCCAATCACAGGATCCCAATATCTCAGACATAGTGCCTGGTTCAAGCCCAATCATTTCTGAGACTCTCCTGCCAGCACTGCATCTTTTGACTGAACAATGGTGGTCACTTTAACTTCTGGGCAGAACTTGTCTTTAGAATGAAAACCACAAAAAGAAGCAAGGCTGAGGGGGAATCTGAGCCCTATGACCTTGTCTGAATTTTTAGACTCTACAATGTCTGAAATTACACTTAGCCGTCCTGATTTCCCAATTATATAAACAAATGTCCTTTGTTGCTTAACCTAGTTACAAGCTAAATTCAGTGATTTTATCCAAACCCACTGCTTTAATTATCTGGTGTCTTCCTTCATGAAATATTAGACAGTAATTAAAATGAAAACTAGAAAGCCAGGTATATTTTCCGTGTTGTTTATGAGGTTATGATCCTTTTTTTTTTAAAGATTTTATTAATTTATTTGACAGATCACAAGCAGGCAGAGAGAGAGGAGGAAGCAGGCTCCCCGCTGAGCAGAGAGCCCAATGCAGGGCTCCATCCCAGGACCCTGAGATCATGACCCAAGCCGAAGGCAGAGGCTTAACCCACTGAGCCACCCAGGCGTCCCTATGAGGTTATGATCTTAAGAAGTTTCTTATAAAATCGTATCTGTTCTATAATTAGAATCATATAGAGATTATGAAAAACTAGTTTTTCATTTTCAAACAAGAATTCTAACAGGTTAGCTGTCTTGGGGAAAAGAAAAAAAATTTAGAGTTCTGTTAGTGACGCTATGACGTTGAGTGCTTACCCCTCCGCCCCCATATACATACATCATTTTATCTGGTTCAGGGCATAAGGAGGGAGTGTAGGTGCAAGGACATGCTCATCCCTCATAATAGGAATCATGCTAACTGGCCATGTGAATAAAGTTTTTTTTTAAACAAACCTTTATGCATTAAACAATCTGAAATATTGTACAATATAAGTGCTGTCTCTAATACAAATCATTGGTGGAAAGGAACAGGACACACTTTCAGCAAAGGTCATACAATAGGTGGTAAAATATTCATGTTCTTGGGTGATGAGTTTTTACTTTGTTTTCCTGGGGAGGTCCTGGACTCCTCTGGTCCAACAAATGCCTCTGGCTTTCCGGAAGCTTCTGTTAGTTGAGGCAGCGGGACAACTTCAGCTGCCTGCTGCAGAGAGCCCTGCTGATCACCCGAATTCTGAACCTGCTTAGTGAGGCCACATTTTATTTTGTCTGTAGTGTCTTCTTTGATGATCAGCTCTGCCGAAGGTGAGAGAAGACAGAAAGAACACATGTTCAGATGTGAATTATATTCTCACCATTAGACTGTAAATCACTTTGGGAAAATCCTGGTTGTAATGATATGAAAACAGACATTCTATGTGCTTTACAAATGAATAATGCTTAGACTAATGCCAGTGCTTATTCTAAGCACTTTACATTTATTAATTTCTCTGATCCTTTCCACAACCATAGAAAATAGACATTATTCCCTTTCTCATAAATGAAAAAACTGAGACACAGAGTGGTTAACTAAATTGCCTAAGGGCCCACACATGGTAAATGGTAGAGCCAGAATTTAATCCCAAGCAACCTGAACCTGGTGACCATAAACAAAACCATGAGGCCATATTGTATATAAAAGATAACTGCATAATGCTGTACCCTGCCTGACAAAAATTCAAAAGGTAGTTATAGATCGGGCAGAGGAGGACACAGTGAAAGGAAAGAAAGGAGGAGAAAGGGAATTGAAGGCAGAAGAAAAGTGGAAATTCGTGATGATAAGGGGGCAAGAAAGAAGCAAACCCATGAGTCTCCTGAAACAGGTTAAATCTCACAAGTGAGAAATGGCTGGCTAGTAGTGATGTAGTCAGAATAATTATCCAAGGTTGAGTTCAGAGAAATTGACAGGAATCCTCTAGAGATACCCAAGCCCTGGACTATAGGAGGAGGACTGGCTATTTGAAGGGCTGTACCTTTTACGTCCAAGTGATGATGCCCTTGAACCTTGGCCTTCCGAGTCTCAGAGGGGAGACAGAGACTGGCTTTCCTCAGGGTCTGGGGCCTGGACCGTGGTTTGAGATTCCGTGGCTCATGAATCCAAGCATGCTTGAGGGCCTGGTCAGGGGTCATGCGAAGAGAAGGTTCCCATCTATATAACAAAGCCCAGCATGGGTTATTGTTTTGCTTCCCTTTCTAATGTTGAAAACATTTTAAAAGACCCCAAAAAAGAACCTAAATAAAATATAATAAAAATAGTTCATTCTTAAAGAACCCATTTAAACCATATTATAACTCAAAGATATCATCGTAGAACAGAGATTACAACATATAAAAATACCTGGAAGCGATTATCAAGACAATCTTTGTGTGAAATTTGCATGACAAACCAGGGAATATATTAGAGCCCAAGTCTTCCAGAGTTCCTAGGATTTCTTGCTCAAGAAATATTATAGAAAATCTTAACCATATCTTAACCAATCTTAACCATCTCAATAAACTGAGATCAAAACAAAGAGAGGCTTAATTTCAAGTTCCAAACTACAAAATCTGGGCCTTCAAATATATCATACACAACATTACAGAGTGCTAGAATATTAATATTATAAGGAGATTTGGGTATAATCCAGCCAAACAAAAGGCATCTGACAGAACCTTCAATATTGAATCCTGCCATTCTGGAGTATTTTTAGTGACAAGGAGCTTAGTCACAGAATTAGCTATTCCAATCTTGATAAAACCAATTCTTCAAAGTTCGTTTTTACTGATCCAAAATTCACACTTCCCAGGAACTTTTACACTAGTAACTTTGACCCAGGTTCTAATTTTACCCATTAACATTACAATAGTCTTCCCTCACCCGTGGGGGAATGCATTCCACCCCCGTGGATGCCTGAAAGCACAGATAGGATAAAACTCCACATATACTATGTTCTTTCCTATACATACATACCTATGATAAAAATTTATAAATTAGGCACAGCAAGATATTCACAATGATAACTAATAATGGAATAGAACAATTATAACAATATACTATAGTAAAAATTATGTGAATGTGGTCTCTCCCTCTCAAAATATCTTCTAGTGCTGTACTCACCCTTCTTATGATGTGAGATAATAAAATGTCTATGTGATGAGATGAAGTGAGGTGAATGACAGAGGCTGGGTGATGTAGTGCTAGGCTAGTGGTGGCTTTCTGACAAGACATCAGAAAGTCCATCTGCATCTGGACTGCAGTTGACCACGGGTAACCGAAGCCACAGAAAGCAAAACTGGGGCAGAGGTGGGGGGTGCCTATTGTATACAGAATGAGACAACTAATCTTTTATGTCACAATCATCCAACTATCCAAACACTTGTACATCACTACTAAGTGTGGTCCTTTAATAGGGTTGTCACCTTCCTAGATAGGAAATTTCAGCTGTTGTCTTACTGGTGTCCATCATGCTGGGAATAGCTTCTAACTGCAGGTAGGTGGCATTAATATTCTAGATTTATAAGGTCATAAGCAACTCAAGCTCCCAGTTCTTTTTCAAATGAACTGCTGCTGAGCTATAACTCCCCTCTCCTGAATTTCTCAAGTTGGCCTACAAAAACTTGACATAGGACTTTACATATACCCCTATTAAATTTAACTCAAAATGTTTAGTCTGTCATTCCAAAAATTTGTTAATTAGGGGGAAAAAAGGATAAGGTAATAGGCCCCATTAGCTTGATCACCTCTTGCAAGTTGTAAGCAACCAGCCCTTCACACTAAAAAAGAAAATTTCTTTCTTGGTTCTGAGCTGTGTTCTGGATGGTTGGGGTTTCTAGATAATTCATCTCCGTCTCAGTAGTGAGTTTCTGTCACTTGTTAATGCACATTCATTCTGTAGCCTCAGCAAAAGGCTGGGGCAGGGGGATGGAGGTAATAGATAGGATCCTCCTCTAGCTCCATTCTTAAGATGAGTAGCATGACTCTCTAGTTGGGAAAACTTCCAGCAGTACTTGGTGGCCTATCTGCTGAGCCAGTAGCTTAATTCCCAGAGTGCACAAATACAAGAAGAGTATGTTGCTAAAACTACTCCATCCCACTGGAAGAATGAGAGAATATAAACATATGGTTTCAAAAATGCTCAACAATTATAGGATTGATACAGCTAAAAAGGCACCTTAGGAATACTTCATTATAAAGAGAAAGAAACTGAGACCCAGAGAGAGACAATGACTGACCAAATATCACGTGGCTAATCTATTTGCCATTTAGTGGAGACACACTTGCAAAACCTCTTTTAAAAGAATGACAAGAGCTAGTGTTTTTGAAACACTAGGCATTATTCTAAATGCTTTATGTACTATTCCTTTTTTTCACTATAACTTCATCGAAATACAGAACCTAATTTCTAAGAGTCAAAACTAGCATATAGATTCTTAAAAAAAAGCTGTACATAATAAATGCTTTATAAACCATCCCTTCCCTAATCCTTTAATTTAGGCTGTGAATCCTAGGGGAAGGAGGGGCAGAAACCATACACTGGGTGTGTATGCAAACAGTTACAACATGCAAGAGGTTTACCTCAGTTCCTGAAGCAGAAGCTATTTAGAACTGGCCTACAACTTTGCTGCCTAGGCAGTCTGAGAACAAGAAGGCAAACTCTATCCACACACTAGTCCAGGGTAAGTCATTGAGCCTCAGCTTCCACATCTCAAAACGGAGCAAATCCTCTGCCCTGCTAATCACCCAGGAACAGAAGAGAACAGTCTGATGAGGGAAAGTATTCTACAGACTCTCAAGCTCTATGGTCAGTATTTTTTATTTTTATAACTATGTTCCAGCCCCAGACTTTTCACCAGCAAACATGTGGGAAAATACATTGTTTTAAGAGGAAACCCAGAGGCAAAGACACCCTTGCAAACTCACACCAAACACCTTCTGAGAAAGTCCAGGAAGCTGGTGTCGTAGGTTTTCAGCACCACCGTGAGATCCTTGGAATCTGGGTATCTTTTTTTCCCCCTGTTGTTGGTCATATTTTTAGGAAAACCTTTGGAATCTTTAGAGATACAACATTCTGTGTTTAGTTCCATGTGTTAATATACATTAGTCACATCAAGCTGTTCACTCAACCATGCTGTTTCTTGGAGGGGTCTTTGCAGCTCTAGATCTGTCCTACACTAGCCCCCTCCTCCACACACACACACATGACTTCCATCTCAGACGGAAAGAGTCCTATGTAGATTATGCAATGAATGCAATTAAACTTTACAATTTTCCCCCCATTCAATATGTTCTGAGCCTCCTTCCCACCTCCCCAAATCAAATGGCTTAACCTTAACCAGGGTAC